CAAATTAACACATATTTTATTTTTGCAAATTTATGGTGACTGGATATATCAATATATAAAATTTGCTCTTAAAAACTTATAGAGAAAATTCATCATTGGTCAATAAATTCAGCAAATATCTTAAGCATATAAAGAAAAGTTATTTAAAAAATCAAAGGCTGATAAACAAAATAAAACAAAAGCAAAAGCAAACTAAGAAATAAGCATGATCTTTTAAAGCAATACTATTGGTCTTAAAATAGGTACTAAATGAGAAAGATAACATTTTAAAAATCCAAATAAAATATTTCAAATGCTTGTGGGCTGTGAATGTTCATGCTCAGCAGCACTGTGCAAGGACCTTCGCACAGCTTTGTATGGGAAGCAAATCGTCAGCTATTGGTGACATTTTCTATGTGGCTACCAATCTTCTAGAAGATAGAAAATCAGTTTTATGATGTTGAAGATAAAAAAAAAATCCATTGGCATTCTCTTGAATAGATTCAGTATATCACACAAGTGATATTTTCTGAAATAGTAAAATCAAATTGAGGAACTTTAACCCCTATATTTTCTACTCTAGTCTTAAAGCATTAGGAACATACAGTATTTGTCATTTAAAAATCACTCTTTATATCTCTACTCTGGGGGCATATAATTATGGAAATTTCCTTTATTTTAATCTAACCATGTTTAAACATCTGTCACACAAGGGAAACCAAAATAAACCCTTTAAAAAAAAAAAGCATGAAAACGCAAATCCCACACCAAACCAACCAACCCACCAACCAACCAACCGACCAACCAACCGACCAAAAAGTAAACTCTCATGTATCTTGATACAATAAAGTTGTAAATGCTAAAGATTCTTAAGGATTGTGAATCCTTATGAAGTGGTGAACAGAAAATTACTGAGTGTCATAAATGGTTTATATAACATAAAATATGCTGTGGAGAATTTTCTTAACAATGTTTCCCTCAGCACATTTAGAAAACAAGATTGGGCTTTTATGAAGAGATCTGTGTCATGCCAGTACGTGTTCAAATTACAATTCAATTCTTGAATAGGTTTCAAACTCTAAAAGTCATGCTTTGTTTTACAGTGATAACTTGGATTGATCTCCAAGTCTGTAGTCTTCCTTTAGTTAGATTCTTTTTCAAAGTTTACTTCTGAAAGTGACAATATAAAATTCCACAGTCACCAAGAATTATTGAATTATTTCAATAAAATACATTTTCTATTATGGATCTGATCCATCCTAATATTTAGGAAAAAACAACGTATGGTAAAAGTGTGAACGTTTTGGGAGGTCGTCATTTTGAATTTTGTTTAGACTAACTTAAAAAGGAAATTGATACAAATACTGACTAGTTAAAATACAGTACTTTTGATATAGATAAAAACCTACAAAGCTGGATGAACCTCTGCAAATGTCTTTACATTTCATTGTCCAGATGCTCCCAAATAGTTTACAAATTGAAAATGAATTGCCCTTTCCAAAGAATTATTTGTAATTTGAATCCTCTATGTATTTCTACAGGACTAGGACGTTCAATCTGAATCTTCCACAAACAGTATTTTTGTTCCACGAGAAAGACAAAAGGAAACAAACAAAAAGCAAAAACAGAAAACTGGACACGTAAGTGATTTCCATGTATATTTATCTTCAAGCATTTTCAAAGTGGAGATGCTATATTAACAACAGAAAGATGACTGCATGTTATCCTAAAACATCTTCAATATTCATTATTTCCAGGGAATACATGTCAGTGGGGACAATACTTTCAATCACGTGTAAGTCACATTCAAGAAGACCAAGCCTTTACAGTTGAGAAGCCACATTACTTCCTCGCTCTGTCTGAGGAACAGCACTACCAGCATCAGGGTTTGGTTATCAAACATTCAGATGTGATTTCACTTACTTGTTTGTCTTTTACTTGACACTGAATTAATGCAGATTCAAACTGGTCCTCTATAGATTTCAGCAGTAGATAAGCTGGTTTAATATGGGGCAATACTGTCTTCTATGCAAATTCTTCAGTGATATCATAGAGATAAACATAGCTAAGTGCTAAATGTCTGGCCTTTTCAAATAAATGCAGACCTACCTTGATTTTTCACAATAAGCCTGTTTTTCCACAGGACAATGTTTTCACACAATGTAAGGCAAAACAGGTATTAAATTACTTAACAAAACTCATGTTTAAATAATTAAAACTATTTGTGTTTAAAGCTATTTGCAGATTTATTAGAGAAACAAATACAAATATGCATTTCTACAGAACTGTTTTTTTTTTTTTCCAAAATGAGCTTAAAACTTGTTCCACAGTTTTCACTTGTTTATATATCTAATGGCAACCCAAGTATTGGCCTCTGCACCACTTTTAATGAGACAATTGCCCTTCCATCGCAATTATAAAAAACTATTTAAAAAAAAATCCAGCACATACACGTTAAATATTTTCTTTAAAAAAATAATCTAATCAAAATATTGAATACTTTAGATTTAAACAATATTTTATTTACAAATCTGATTTGATGTACTTTATTAATTATACAAGGTAATGCTTCAATTTTTCAAGAACAGTTGCTTTTTATTTTATAGACCAGTGGAATGACATCCTATCTAGTAATATGTTCTATACTTCATTTTTTTCAAAATTAATACAAGTTTCTGATACTTTCTTCTTTGTGTAAAAATGTCATTTAATCGGGGCACATATCTGATGAAACAAAAAATAACATGCATAATTCCAAAGACAATTTTAAAGTAATGATACTTACCCTTTATGTAAAAAGACATCTATGGACAACAGTGCACAATAATATTATGTACTCATGTTTATGAGAAACCAAGCAGGAGGCAAAATGAGTTCATCCTGTTTTCTAATCATAAGCAATTTCATATGGCTGTTTGCATCATTTAAATAAAGTGTATATATTAAATTTCTAAGATTGCATTGCACTCAAAATTATTATGTATAGCCATGCTTGCCCTGTATTTGATGATCGATGAATTTCTGCTACTAACAGAGTAACTGGTCTCAAATTGTGTACGTGATGTAGAGTGTTAAATTATATTTTCATCTCC